CAGCTGCTCCATTGCTGCACTGACATTGTGCGAAGCGGAGATGAGAACTCAACTGTTCTGAGGCAAGGGATTAACGAATGGTGACCAGCAGTGGTAGCAAGAAGCAGCTGTAGTATAATCGGTGGAAAAGTGTACGGATTTAGGGTGCAAAAGGCGACACCAAAGGGTTCGTTTCTACCACCCCAATACGTGTGCCGCTTCCAACTGTATTCAAGTGTTCTTGATTGGGTCAGCAGTATGGACAGCCAAGTAGACGGTCTTACAGATGGTGAGGGTGATCTATTGTGATTCGGGAGGAGCACTAAGCCATGTGAGTAGCTGGATTCGTGTTGCACCCACGAAAACGCGCAAGGTAACGCGTGACTGAGCACTGGAAACCGATGTCAACAAGAATTCCCAAAGGTGGCAGTTGCAGTTGAGGTGGGATAGGCCTCCGACGCCGATTTGTTATGTACTAAGCAGTCGATGATCTACCGAGTCTCGATTTACCGTATCGCCGTGCAATTTAGAAAATGTCCTCTTGTAGAGCCGTGGGATTTGAGTTAAGGACTGAGTGCGAGAAGCTGGAAAGAGCACAAGCCTTGCAAACCATTTGTAGCTCCAACTGCAGTCAGTTGCTGAGTCAGGAGCGCATTAAGTCTAGTGTCATTAGTGACATCGATTCCTCTTTATAGGCCAATTTTCCTTTTATGGCTCCAATGAGTGCGCTTTACCTCATTGTCTCTGCGACTCACGATGTTGATCGCGCAGATGATGCACCGTCAAAGAGCTTTCCCATTCCATAAGTGCTGCATTTTGTGGCAATGGCAAGGGTGGGACTTGGACATCACAGGCATGGAGGCGAATTCCGACGTGGCGGCACTCCGCATAGTGGGAGACAAGTCAATTGCATTGGTGAAAGATGGTGGGTAGAGGCATTCCCTGTTTCGAAGTAAGGGCACTGTTAGGGGAGGCGAGACACACAAGGTGTGGTGGAATGGCATGGGATGGGGAGCGACATGGGGCCTGACGGAATCTGGGTG